TCCCCCCCCAAAAAAAAGAGTCTCATGGAGTTCCTTGCCCAGGCTGGCTTTGAACTGCGATCCTCAGATCTCAGCCTCCTGAGTAGCTAGAATTACAAGCGTGAGCCACCGGCGCTCAGCTAGAAATATCTTATATGTGTTTAAAAGCAGAATAATGAAATGCATTATTTTTTGTGAAAATAAAAGTGGTTGAGGATAAGTAAGAGTAATAGAGAGAGTGAAATGAATCAAAGCATCTATATGCATAGTAGACCCATCACAATGAAACTACTTTGTATAAGTATTATATGCTCATTGTTTTGGCTTCTTACTATGATTTCTTACTTGGTTTCTTATTATTTTTTGTCTTTAAATAGCTTTACAGGAGTTTCAATTCAATATGAGTACAATTTTTGAGTGAGTGGACTCACAAATGAATGCGTCTAATGCATCTTGGTCAGTGTTATCCATATTTGCTGATTTCTTTAAATATGATAAAGTGATAACAAAAACATGAGTACTTCAGCCTTAGTCACTGCATTATCCACAATCAGAAATTATATAAGTTCTGATCACAGAAACTTCTATTATGTTCTAAAATCATCACAATAAACATAACTAATCAACAATAATAATGTTCCACTGAATGGGAAAATTTGAGAAAAAAAAACAGAATAGTAAATCTGTTTTCATAGAACCCGAGAAAAAAGTAAGCTCATCTACAGTAACAGGAAGTGGTTGATATGGAAAGGAAGAAGGAAAGGGTGTAAATGAGAAGGAGGAATCAGTGACAAAAAATGGCATGGGCAGTGACAGACACCATCACTATCTTGATTACATATGTCAAAATGCATCAGACTGTATATTCTACAAGCATGGAATTTTTATGAGAATTATGTTGCAATAAAATTCCTTTCACAGGCCCATAATTAAACACAGGACATATCTCATTACATGATTGTGACTGTGTAAGTGTGCTCTATTTAAAAGTGTGCTCTATTTAAAATAGCACTCTAAGTAAAATGGTAAGAAACGAGAGGGACAGGAATATATTATTTTGCTTGAATGACAATGAGTGAAAGGTTGGGACGCATTCGTATTTGCGAATATACACACACCTACAACTTACCTAAGTGGTGAACAAAAGACTAGAAGCCATTATTCTGGTGAGGATAGTCCACAAAAATGAATGTACTATTATCAGAGCAAGAAAAATCAGACAGATAAAATAATGAACACTCACAAACAATAAGGCTGACTTATAACTATGCACTACAGATTCATGCTTCCCTTCTACAGCTACCTATACCTATTTTCCTCTTTGTGCTGAACAACCATCCACAAAATGCTGATTATAGAAAACCATTAGTAAATTAAGTAACACTAAATTACTACAACCAACACCTCCTGGCCACAGTACAAGTACACTAAAAATTATTCACAAAACCAAAAAGCAGAAAGACCCACCTACCTAAAAAATCTACAACTTCTGTCTTAAAAAATTATTAGGAGAAATAAAATTAACATTATTCAATTTTTAGTTCTTATAAAAATGCTAAAAGGTAGACACTACATATGAGAATCCACAAAATATGTCTGAAAAACTGAGTATAAAAATGGGTAGCATTAAATGTTTTTAATCAATAAAAAAGAAAAATATATAAGAAATTAATTAAATATCCAGCTGAAAAAAATTAAAAATCAACAAATAACCCCAAATATACTGAGGAAAAAATAAAAATTAAAGCAGAAATAGCAATGAGAAAAAGTTAGTCTATTTCAATACCCTGCTTTTAAAAACTGAAGTAGCAAAATATACACATCACTACCAAACATAAAACTGAAGTTTAAAAAGGAATCATAATTGATTGTATAGACCTACAAGCAAATAAATTTGAAAATCAAGATAAATGATCATTTCCAAGCAAAGTACAGATTTCCAAATTTGCCAGCATTAAAAGAACCAATTTTTTTTGTAGAAAAAATTGGAGAATACTGTCAGGAAATGTTATGAGTAGGGTAAAAAGCACTAGATAACTGATCATTTCAAAGAAAGATTCTACAAAGCCTTCTTCAAAGACTAGATGCTCCCCCAAAAGGGCTGTTTATGCTAAGAGGACTGAAAGGGATACTAAGAAGAAAAACGTTGTCATTCCTGTCCAATACCATTGGAGAAAAATGCAAGTATTGAATAAATAAATTCATTATTTACTAAATTAACAGTATTAAAATAATAATAATAATAATGCCCAACAACATACTGAGGGAAAAAAAGAAACCATGGTCATTAGGAATATATTTGAGCCGCTTTAAAGTTGACTCATTAGTAGAAAAATAATACGCAATATGATCGTTTCAAGAAAAAACATGATTATCTCTACGTACATTGAGAAGCCCTCAATAAACATTCACTATTTTTATAAAGCTCTACACCAATTAATTTCACCCCTTCTGTCACATTCCCTAAACCCTTCTCTCTGAAATAGCACCCCCAACAGGTTTCCTTGTTCCAATTTCAGAGTGGCAGATACTCTATTTTGAGAGTATTCAGTCTTTTCTTTCATCCTCCCTCAGCTACACCCTGATTTTACCAAACAGTTCAATCTTTTAACCTAAATAATTTTACCGCTTAGTTTTTAGAGGGAAACATATCAACCTGGAAACAAACAATGTGTAAACTGAAGAATACACAAATAAAACAAGGCAATAAAACACTTCCTGTGTTTATAGAAAATGGATACTTGGTCATTTTCCTGATATTCAGTGCATTTCAATTCTGAGGAAGAAAAGCAAAGGGGGAAAAAAGTGGCTGAGAAGCTAGATACAAAACGATCCAAAGAAACTGGGCCTAGTATAGTCTGGAGATTTTCTCAGCAAAAGTTAGCCTCCAGACCAGATGTGAAAAACAACAACAACAACAATAAGCAGAAAGCAAAAGGACAGGGCGGTACTCAAGAAGTAGAGTGCTTGCCTGGCAAGCATGAAGTCCTATGAGCAATTCTCAGTACCATTTTTTAAAAAGATGCTAAGTTTCTAGTTGGTGATGTACAGATGAGTTTGCAGGTCAAATAAAGTCCAGCCATCTGTTCAAAAATTGGCTAAAACATAGGTCACATATCAAGGACCAGAGCTAAAGAGGAAAGAAAACAGATGTCTGGTGAAGTTATAAGGGAAAACATGCAACTATCTGGATCAGATTTACATGTAATAAAAAGCCATGAAAATGAAATTACTTATGTTATCTATAACAATATCCTGTTTCATCCTTACTAAATTTTTACTCATAATTCTAGTGAATTTCAGTTTGAGAATTTTTGTCTTTTGTTGTTTATAGTGTTAGAATCCCAACTTTTACATGTATATTTATCGTAAGAATTCTTAACTAAATTAAAAATTTTAATCCAAATATGTTAGATAATTATAAAATGACTGATGATTGTTTTAAATTCATGGAAATCAATTAAATGAGAACTCTGCACAAAGTTACTAGTCTTATTGTGAATTATTTATTCTCTTAGATTTAAAAACTAATACTGATATGTACATAAAAATAGTTATCCTTCACTGTATAAAATAAAAGAAATCAAACCTGAAAACTAACTTATAACTTCAAAGAGAAACAAGACTGGAAAATAATGGGTCAAGGTTAAACAAGTTCTCTTGTGTTAATGCAGAGATTTCTTTTTCAAATGAACAGAAATTAGGGAAAGCATATATGACAAAGCAATGCAACATATTCGTGTTTCAATTACCAGTTCATATGGCTGGTTATTTTTTAAATGGAGACAAATGGTAAGTCTTTCACAAGGCCTCATAGAGAACAAATAAGCAACGAAAGATCATTAAGCCTTCCTGTGCAAGTATAGGAATTCACCCATGTTTGAAAAATTAAAGTTCACAGAGTTCCCAGGCAACTAGTTTTTGTTTCATTTTTATTTCTATTTTTAGCATAGTCATAAAAGCCAAAGAAATTATGATTGGCCGTCTAGTTTCATCTTCTTCTTCCTTCTACCCAATTCTAGGCAGTCACCAACCATTTTTCTGCCTCTTGGTTTATATATAATCTTGGTCTTATAAATAATGTGACATATTTAGAGAGACATTCCTAACCCCAAACAAAGACACCCACCCAGGCTTTGTAACCATATAATTCATTTTACAAGAAGGGAGTAAGCAGAAATGACCACCAGACAGGCAATCCCATGTCTACTATGAGCCCCAAAAGCTCAGGTGGCAAAAGTTTGGCCTCCAGGGATCAGGGGTATTATCTGGGGAAAATAAATCGATTGTGAGGGTCCTGACCTAATTTACTACAGGTTAAGCTATTGAAAAATGTACAAGAAAATGGCATGACTGGAAAATTGGTGGAAACTGGGAAGTCAGGCTTAATTGGAGAATGTATTGCACTAGTACTGTACCCTTGAAGGGCTTACCTTTCCCCCAGTTTTCCACTCTGCACTCTATTTCCTGGCTGCCATGATGTAAGCAACTTTTCCTTTCCCACCATCAAGCTCTGCTTCATCCCAGGCTTAGGGGACTGGTCTTCTTTAAGTTGTTCTCACCCATTATTTTCTCACAATGACAAAAATTGACTTAAACACTTTGTTCATTTTATAGTTACTTCTAAGTTTTCTACCTTTGACTACTAATTAGAAACAGCAAAATATCTAACTCTGACATTTTGCGGAAAATGAAGCCAACAAACCTGGCAGCTATATTCACGTAGGGTTGTGAAAGTGGCAAAGACTTTGGTTCCATTTGAAAGTGGCACAACGCTGGCTCTAAAGATCACAATGCTTTTGAAGCAAACAAAGGACTCTTTGTCACTGGTCCAGTAGAGTAACTACTGGATGGAGAAGACAATAACTGCATGAAGACATAACACTTGAAAATAAAACTCACCCTTTAACTTATCTGGAGACACAAACCTATTAGCAAGAATACAAATATAACTAGTGCTGATCACCTTTCCACCACCACCGTTTCCCGTGCTATTATTTACAAGTCTCAAAATGACTTACCTGGATCACACCAGCCAAGAAGGAAACCGCTGCAGCAACTCCAATCCTCTGCATCTCAAAGTCAGAGAAGCCTAGCACACTTGAGTGATTGTGTGTGGTGAGGTTCTGGCTGCTCTGAGGGACCAGTCGCTCCACAGCATTGGCTGAGATTAAGGATGTCAAGGCAAAGGTGCCTAAAAGAGGGGAGGCAAGTAATTTTATTAATTGCAGACACATGATTAAATTCTGCCATATTGTAGTGCCAAATAGATCTCTTGGCAACTCTATCCTTCCACTGGGGCTTCTCTTCTCTATTTTTCACCACATTCCTGAAAGAAACAGATACCTCCATATGCCTACAGCCACACACATCTATCTACTTCGCCCTAAGCTTTATAATTTTGTACCTCTCATAGATGACTATAGAGAGAGTACTTGGAGCAAGTATCAAAATTATGGACTGAGTCAGGTGCCAGTGATTCACATCTGTACTCCTATCTATTAAAAAGGCTGAGATCTAAGGATGGCAGTTCAAAGCCAGCCCTAACAGACAAGTCAAGAGAAGCTTATCTCCAATTAACAAGCAGAAGAAATTCTGAAGTAATGCTTTGGAGCAAGTGGTTGAGTGCCAACCCTGAAAGAAAAAAGGTAAAAGGTAGTGCCAGGCTCTGAGTTCAATTCCCAGTACCAGCACATACACAGATATACAGACACTGACTTAGACACACACACACACACACACACACACACACACACACACACACATTATGCACATTATGAATTCTTGCTTGGATTTAACTTCAATCACTTAACTGTCAATGTGACCACATGTATTTTACTCAGGGTGTAAATTGCCTTGTCCCTTAAATGATGGTAATATATGCAGTTTAGGCTTTCGGGTGAATATAAAGGAGAGAATTGAAGACTTCATTAAATTCAGTGGTCAATATAATCTCTTTGGCTGAAACATTTTCTCTTCACATGCACCTGCATAAACCTGCTTTTCTTTAAGTATCTGGCTCAAATTTCAAATATACAAGGATGCATCCCAATTAACTATTCCTGGCTTAAAATTTTGCACCTGTTATGACTCATTGCTGAGTATTCCTTTATAACAACATGGTATGGCCTATAAAATGATTAAATATATCATTTCTTTTTACTGCTATTAGACAAAGTTTAATGGTATTTCCTAGAAATTGTCTTGGCCTCCTACTTTTATGGGAGCATGGTTATTGTAGTCTTCTATTTTTTTCTTAGAGTTCTTAGCATCAATTTTGACATAGTTTGTCTAACAATGCAGTCACACAGATAGGGAAATGTTGATTTCCTCAGACAGGCTCAAGCTAAAGAACCATACTACATGTTGCAGACATCCCCTGACTCAGCAGTTAAAGATTGCTTTGCTTCAAGTTGTGAAAAAAAAAAGTGCATCGGCAGCAGGACCAGGAAAGAGAGATGTGAGTCCGACAGAAACAGATCTCAATGGAGACCCACAACACACTACTCTTGATTGATAAGGGCATTTGGATAAGACAAGCAATATGTGTTGTGAATTCAGAACAATATGATGACAATATAGGAACTTAGCCTAAAACGCCAAACTGCTATCCTAGACTACTTTGTAAAAGATCATATTCTTCATACACTGAGGCTATTAAGGCTTACATAAGATAATACATTACAGTATATGTCATAAAGTTAACTACTGGCATGTAGTTAGCACTGAGTGTTAGTGTTAGTTTTTCAGATGATTTCTACAATTAAGGTCAGAATGCTCTGTTATGGTCTGTTATTCTTTGTTTTTCTCTAAGAGATGATGGTACATAAACTCAGAGAAATCTGAATAGAATCTTCAGTGCACGCTAAGTCATTCTCTATTAATAAATTCATGAATACTAATCATCAGGGTCACTATCATCATCACCTCAAGTAACTAACATAACTGATTATGAGAGACAAGAATCCAGTTTCCAGGATAGATAACATTAAGTAAGATATATTCACCATGGAACCTAGTTTTTAGAAAAGATATTTTTCATGGTGTTTTACAACAGGATGATATTGAGACCAAATGAGACACTCCTGAAAGTTAAAAGTGTCTCTTCTGGTCTTTAAATCTAGTAGACTACAGAATAAACTGTTTTATATAGAAGTGATTGTGCAAATGCCTAAAGAACATTTTAAGATAGAAATGAGTTCAACTTTGCATTCAGATTTAACTTTCTTAGGATTTTAAGAAAGATAAGAAGGAGTCGTCAAATGGTAGGAGAGTAAGGACCTTCGTAGGCTTTGATGGAGAGAGAAAAAACAAGTCTTCCCTGATTTGAAAGCAGTGCATGGTTGGCAGGGTTGCTCCCTCATTTTAAGCTCTCAGTAAATATTTATTTCACTCTGTGTAGAAGTTATCCTTGACAAACATCCTCCATTGCTGAACAGACTGTGTCCTCTCAAAACACTTTCATAGTTAGTTGAGGACAAGGTCCTACAAATGATCACATTTTGGTAATCTTCAGCAATATTGTTTCCATTGGATACATATCCAGATTTTTTTTCCTTTCCCATACCAAGAAACAAAGTTGGTTTTTTTTGTAGCTTCTAGATGTCAAGATTATGTTTTACACAACTTTGTTTTAAAATAATTATATTTTAAGTTTAAATATTTGCAAATTAAGATTAAAATTTTGCATTGTTGAGCAAATAGGACTTTCTGTGGCTTGATGAATCATTTACTTGTTTTGGGTTTTTTGTTGTTGTTGTTATTGTTGTTTTGGTCAGGCCTGGGATTTGAACTCAGGGCATGGGTACTGTCCCTGAGTTTCTTTTGCTCAAGGCTAGCAATCTACCACTTGAGCCACAACATCACTTCTGGCTTTTACTGTTTATGTGGTACTGAGGAATTGAACCTAGTGCTTCATGCATGCTAGGCAAGCATTCTACCACTAAGCCACATTCCCAGCCTGAATCATTTGTTTTTAAGAGATGCTTCCACCATTATTTGCCATGGAGTCCAGTATTCCATTTTGAACACCTAACTGGAAGATAAAACCCAAGTCACACTAGTATCTTAATAAAACAGAGTGGGTAAGCCGTTCCATAGCATATACTAAAGTTAAATAAAAGAGAAATCTGTTCTGTGTATTAAATATTTGTAAGGACATTTGGTGAGACTCATTTGTTCCATGTTTAGGACCATAGGCAAGTTCAAAAAGTGATTCATTGCTGATTTATATCTTGTGCCATAAAGTCTAAGGATCTGCTCCTTCTTACTGATATTAAACAAATAAATATCAGGTTAAAACTAAAATGAGATGTTTCAGCTTACTCTGTAAAATATAAATTCAGAAATAAAATAGCATTAGCATTTATTTTTCAGAGAGAAATGTCTGTAAATTGCATGTATTTTGAAATGCCTGTTATTTACCTAAAGAGACCACAAGTTTCCTATAGTTGATAATAATCTGTAAATAATCTGTTAGTTACAGAATCTTATGTAAATGGTCATTTCGAAACTATGTGAGCATCAAAATGTTTGCAGTACTTATCCAACAAGTAAAATGGCTATCTAAGTACATATTTAAGCATTATCAATTTGGGTATTTTTGACTTCTAAGTATAATTATGGTCTCTTGAGCAAATTGGCTTTGCTTTACTCTTTTATCTTGTGCCTAAACAGAGGAAATGCTTGTGGGGTCAGCTCTAAAACCATTTGGTTCTTTATAAAAACATATGTAAATGTTCTAAAAATAAAAATAAACTGTTAGGAAATAAGGACACAGGATAATTAAAAGGTAATAAACATGAAGAATTTTTAACCTACTCTAGTGCTTTTCTCCTTTTGCATCAGGACAACAGGAAAGTTCCTTCAACAAGATAAAAAATCGCTTAGGTTTTAGATTCAGCTACATGGACTTTTCAAATGGTATATCTAAGACTTTAATCTGAGCTCTCATGAGAAACTTCCTGAATTTTAGGGCTTGTAGGATCTTTACTTTTCTTTCCTTTTTTGTCTGAAATACACAGATAACACTGTCTATTTAAGAGGGGTTTTTGAAAATAAAGCTTAATTTGTGTGATGTTGGTGATTGAACCTAGGGATTTGTGCAAACTATACAAATACTCTTCCTCATGGATAGAGCAAACCGGTAGAGTATTTGTATAGTTTCCTTTCCTTTTTTTTATGTTGCCCTTTCATTTTGTTGTTTTTTGAGACAAAGATCTCATTATATTAGTCCAATCTAGCCTGAAACTTACTACGTAGCCCAGACCAACTTCAAACTTATTATCCTCTTGTCTCAACCTTCTGAGTGCTGGGATGTCCCATTATGCCTGCATAAAGCTCTTCCATAATTGTCTGAAATAGATATATGTGCATATATGTACATACATGTACATATACACATACATGTGTGTACATGTATATGCACACATGCAAGCTATGTATACATGTATACATTGCCCTAGACAATATATATCTTATGACAGTCATGTTTCTCTTAATAGGGATACATTCTGAGAAATACACTGCAGACAATGTGTTGTCAATATCATAGTGTACTTACTCAGCCTAAGACAACTGGGACATTACCAGGTAACCTCATTTTATGGGACTTTGCTTTTATATGCCCTTTATTGTTGATGGTGGCTTATAATGTGTGTGTGTGTGTGTGTGTGTGTGTGTGTGTGTGTGTGTGTGTGTGTGTCCATGAAACCTGGAGATCTTCTGAAAATGCTGATTATAATTCAGTAAGTCTGAAGAAGCCAAGATTTTTTTTTCCATTTCTCACAAATTCTTACACAATGCAGCATTGTGCATGATTGCAAACTTCACATACTTCCCCCATTATAACGCTATTTGGTATAAAAATCCAAGTTTAGATGAATTTCCTGAGAAAATGTACAAGCCAATGTGGTGGACAAAATTTGAAATATGCGTAGGTCCTAAACTCCAGAACCTGTGAATGTTATGTTCTATGGCAAGTATAATGCATGCTCCAGATGGAATTAAGATTGCTAATCAGCTGACCTTAAAATAAGGAGATTATCCTGGATTACTCAATAAGTAAGTTCAGTGAACTCACAAAATTCTTCAAAGATAGAATCAGAAGGAGATTCAAAGATGTTGCACTACTGACCTTGAAGGTGTTTGATAAGTCCCTGAGCCAAGGAAAGCAAGAGGATTCTTGGAGACAGAGAAGTCCAGAAGATGGCTTTCTTCAAAAACAAACACACCCTTGCAGGCACTTCAGCTTTACCCATGTATCATTTGAAATTATGGATCTGCAGAGCTGTGGAAAACTTTTCCTTGTTCTAAGTTTCTAAACTCATGACAATTTGTACAGCCACAACAAGAAATACCTCTGTAGAAAATTCCATTTAAATATAATTGTATTGCCAGAATACTTAAGATTAAAGTTATCATTTTATAATAATAATAACCAAATAAACAACTTTATTAAATCTTATTAGGAAGCAAGTACTAAGTATTATACATTAATTATCTAGCTCTCACTAAAATTACATGAACTGTAGGGTTCATTCTATCACAAGAGTGACAGAGTCACTCAGGTAGCACATAAAGGAGACACGAACCAGGCCCAACTATGACCAAAATTCATCCTACTGTATTACTAGAAAAATTGTGATTGTTTACAAATTCTTGAGTAATGAACACCTAGGCAATGTAGTACATACTTATTAAAGGGTACTATAGAATGCAGTCTGGAAGAAACTTAAAAGATCATTTGATCTAAGTATCAAATACATGTAAAATACTCTTCAATATTCTAAACTTTATAGTCTTTGTTTTCTTTCAAGTGTGCACTTTCTCTTATTGTAAATCCAGGAGATTCTCCCTTTCTTTCATTTTTTGTTACTAAAAACTACACAAGACTTCTTAGTAATAATTTGCATTCACAGTAATATACCAGTAAATCACAGTATACATTGCTTATCTGAAACACAGATATGCTTGGCTCTAATATTTGCTAAGCTTTTCAGCAGTGCATTTAGAACTGCTTTGGAAATGCAATCGGTAACTAAGGATTACTCTGAGTCTCTTTGATTAGTAGGAGGAGAAACATAAACATAGAAATGATTACCTGTGGCCACATGACGTCCCATTCCAAATATGGCATAAATGATGGCAGGAAACAGAGACCCATACAAGCCAAACACTGGATGCACAGAGGAGAGAATAGCAAAGGCCAGTCCTGTGAAGAAGACCAGGGCAATTAGGACCATTTTGTACCCCAGAGGTACAATCCATTATGAAATGCAATGGCTATTGGTTTCTTTTTTTTTTTAATTTTTTTTTGGGGTCCAGTCGTGGGGCCTGAACTCTGGGCCTGGGCACTGTCCCTCAGCTCTTCAGCTCAAGGCTAGCGCTCTACCACTTGAGCCACAGCGCCACTTCCGGCTTTTTTCTTTTTGCTTATGTGGTGCTGAGGAATCGAACCCAGGGCCTCAGGCATGCAAGGCAAGTGCTCTACCACTGAGCCACCTTCCCAGCCCTGGCTATTGGTTTCTTAAAGCTGAAATTAATCATAATTTTATTTTCCTACTTGTTCATCAACCACAGAATCTAGCACTATTGCCCTAAATAAAAGAAAAAAAATACTCATTTGTTCATAGGCACATTTCAATCCAAACACTACTCTTTTTAGCCTACTACTATTCCTCCTTGTTGCAGAGATGTTTATACATAAATAGTGGTTTCTTTTTCTGCATTTTTTTTAATTTTTTGAATGTATTGTTATAGTAGAGTTGATATACAGAGGGATCACAGTTACGTGAATCAGATAATGAGTGTAATTCTTTTTGAACCATGTCTCTCTTTCCCTCTCTCTGTCCCAGTTTTTCCCTCCTTTCCCCACCCACACGATATAGAGTTCATTTGCCACATACTTTCTAGTGAGAATAAACAATGGTTTCTTTTGTCTTGCCAGGGATGGATAGAAGGGATATCATCATGGCAAGATATCTCTCAGCATGTTTATATTTTTATATTTTCATATGTACTTTTTTATTTGTGCAATAAGCTAGGCAGGACCAGTAGCTTTACCACTGAAGGATGAAAACTCTGACAGGGAATACAGTCTTGGATGGGGATCAAAAGGAAGCACATTCAAAGTTGGCTGGTTGGCTGCCAGGGTGACCAACTAAGATTTGCATTACAGTGACAGGGTCAATGCATGGACCTACCTACTCCCCACTAATTTAACACTAGACTGTAATCCAGGAGTCATATCTTACTGTGGAAAAAAAAATCAATTTTGCTTATTTAGTGTTCAAGGAGTAAGGAATAATGCACAACTATTCAATGTTATACTTTATAGATACTAACATTTATGTATTTTATGTTACATGCACGTTGAAAATATGCCTAGACATGTCCAAATGACATGTCTAAAGACATGGGTTTTAAGTGGAACCAAAGACTGAATTAGTACAGGTTCATTTAAGCAGCCAGATGTGGTGATATATTCCTGTGCTCCCAGCACACGGGCAATGAGATCATGCATTTGAGGCTAGTCTGGGCTACACTGTGAGGCCCTGGCATTCCCTCCCCCCTCTTGTGAGGCTGGTCATTGACATTAAACAAATACTATAGTAGGTTCTGAAGTTCATTTATGACTATCAGCTTCATACTGGAGAGCTGATTGGGCATAAATATCATTATAAGTTACACAGTGGCTCTACAGAGGTAGCATTAGAATCTGGAAAGTCTGCGTATAAGGCCAGGTAATTATTCACACTGTGGAGCCTAGGAGTCTGGGTCCAATTTTTACTGCTGAAATTTTGCTGTTTTAAGTTAATGATACTTGTACTTTTTAAATACCTTCCTGGTTATATGTTGAATATTTTCCAAGTAGTACAAGAAATATTTGTTATTATAATAAGTGAAAAATCTACTAATAACTATCTTCTCTTTAAAAAAAAACCCTCCAATTTGTTGTTTATTGGTCATATATTCCTGGCTGGAGGAAAGGGCTTTGGAAAGCTAATTTTTTCCCACCTTTACCAAAGCATCTCTTGGAATTTTTAATATAAATAACTTTGTCAAAAGCATTGTGCTTGCTTCAATTACTCAGGAAGCTTTTTAAAAAATCACTTTTTACCTGTGATAAGTTACCTATTGAAAGACAGAAATGCAGCATAGTAATAAAGGGCTTGCCTAGCATGTTCCACTGTTACACACACACACACACATACACACACACACACACACATACACTCAACCATATAAACAGACAGAGATGCATGGACAGAGATGTGTGGTATTCCACATAAGAAAGATAAATGTGGCCCATATTTTACCAGATCATCTAAAAATGCAAAATCAATGGTGGGAGGAAGAGGATGTATCATATCTAACAGAAGCACCTTGAATACAGCTGTTAAATTCTGGTCATTGTGGTTAATATAGACAGGATCTGGATTAGTCCCAGGTAGATCTGATTGGCTGCATTTCTACACTATCTATAGTAAGCAAATGTTAATACAGACCTGCAAGCTATCAGCAACTTTCTTCTTGCCCTATGAATACAGAGCTCCTATTTAACCTGCCTAATTACAGTAACACTCATCTTTTTCTTTTGGTTTAGCCCAAATACAATTCAAAATAAATTGGTCTAATCACTCATCTAATCTCTGCTTCTTCTATCCATACAAATTTAAAATGGGAATAGTCATGTAAAGAATATTTAGTACCAAGTTTTTTAAATAATCTCTTGATTGATATCAAGTGCAAAAATATAATCATCGTAGTTTTCTAACCTCAAAATTAAAAGTGATGTATACATTTCCTTTATTCTGTATTACACTGCTACTAAGTTTTCATTTTAAGCAATAAATTCACTCATCCTTGATTCGCATATATATACATATATATGTATGGCAATGAACAATGACCAAATTGAAGAAAGACAGAATGAATTCAGATATATAACACTTTAACATTTTATCTATTCTTGCATTAAATATGAATTATAAGCCCAAGACCATCCTACTGATGTGTAAACCTCAAAAAAAGGGTAGATAAAATTTATTTTCCTAATTTACTTATTACTATGGTTCATAGATAAAGAACATAGATTTTTTTCACACATACACACAAGAAGCAAGTCTGTTCACTCTCTGCCTCCTCTCCCACTTGCAGTCTTTTGTCTGGACTAAATCTACAAAAGGAGAATGGAATATCACGAAGATGTAGATTTTCATTGCCAGTTAGAATCATTCTTCTAGATTTCAGTAATAGTAATTATTTTTAGGAAAGATGGATCATGTCTAGAAATTGAGTAATGATATTAATGGAAAATTGGTACTAGGATGACTCTGTTGGAGATATTACGTTCTGAGATCTTTCTGTGTTATTTTAGACTACAACTTTTCATTGTCACATCAAACAGACAGGACCCCAGAAGCATTTGCTTTTCTCCTATGGGAATAATAATATTTTATAGTTTTAACCTCTTATTATGAAACTTATATGGCCCAGAAAACTAAGTTACCACAACTCAATTTCAGCAGAATACATTCCTCCCAGAATGTTAATCATCATGAAACACCTTTGAGTATTATGATTTGAGTTGTATTCCCCAAATTTCATTTGTTGAAGTCATAACCTAGAATCTCAGAATATGAAGTACTTATTTGGAAAAGGATTGTTATGGAGGTAATTAGTTAAAATTAGGGGTCAAGAGACTAGGGTAGACCCTAAACTAATCATGAAAATAGGAAGGTGTGCATACAGGAAGAGCATCACATGAAAATAAAGCAGAGAGTGGGGTACTCATTCTATACTAGAAAATGACCAGCAAGCCACCAGAAGCTAGGGGCTGTAAGGGGAATAGATTCTGTCTCACATCCCTCAGAAGAAACCAACCCTATGACAATTTGATTATGGACTCCTGACCTCTAGAACTACCCTAAGGCTATGATAGCCTTAGCAAAAGTACATAGTATCATAGATAATGAAAAGTCATTCGAGGCTGGGGGATTTAACCCCATATTGTGAACAAAATCAAAGTATTTGTCCTTAAGTGAGAGAGTGGTTAAGAAAGAACAGTAGAGAATGAGTAAGATCAAGGTGCAGTATCTGCATGTATAGCACAGTGTGTAACTAAATGTGCTAAATGTCAATATCATTTACATTTTGTACTTTTGAGTCATTGGCATCTGAGATGTTTAGTTCTTAAATAAGTGTCTAGAGATTAATTGTTGAATATAAAATTCCTTTATGAAACTGTGTGCCCAAAGCTCAAATGTAAAAACCAAAACCCAATCCAGCGCCATCACTAGGAATGTTTGCAGGATTCTCAAGAAAAGTGCTCTTGGGCTTCTGAAATGCCTGGACACATATGAACTAAGGTAGGCCAGGCACATTTGTGCTCAATGTTCTAAAGCTTTGTCAAATAGAATTGACTCAGAAGTAAGACTATTCCACTGTCTCATTCGTCTCCCCAATTTCTGGTCCACAGAAAGAAAATATTCACAGCATATTGAAAAGGCTGAATGACCAACTTATGGTTTGAAACTCCTTTCCTCATCTGGCAGCCTGTATCTAACCCAGCCAGAGTCAATGCCACAGCATTCAGCACCCAGTCTCCTCTCCCAGAGGATTCATTTTACTTATGACAAGAGCAACTCAGAACACACTGATAAATTTTCCCTAGTGTTCACAATAAAAGAAAATGGAAAGCCAGGTGCCAGTGGCTCACGCCTGAACTCCTAGCTACTCAAGAGGCTGAGATCTGAGGACTGCAGTTCAAAGCCAACCAAGGCAGGAAAGTTGGTGAGACTCTTATCTCCAATTAACCACCAGAAAACCAGAAGTGGCACTGTGGCTCAAGTAGTAGAGCACTCACTTTGAGCTGAAGAGCTTAGGCCCAGAGTTCAAGCCCCATGACCAACAAAAAAGAAAAAAAAGAAAATGGAAAATCTTCAGTTTGGTCAATTTCAAAACAGATTTGTTTCTCCAAATCATGTTAAAACATTGTTTGTGATACTTTCAAGTAATCAAATAGAAAGCAAACAATGCTAAATATTGGGATCACAAATGATTTACTGCATTTTGATTATGGTAGAAACAAAACTGTAGGACTAAAGATATCTATTTTAATATCAAAGTGTGATTCTTACCCTAATAAATTGCAACACATGATAGATATTAGTATTAACCAAATAATACTCTCCACAAAGACACTCATAT